CTGGACGGCCTGCCGGTCGGGGATCCCGCTGTAGACGGAGAGTTGGGGTCCGGCTGGGTGGCTGTTGGAGGCGGACGTGGCGCTGGACGTGGCCGGAGGCACATCGTGGCCATCCATGGCAAAGCGGAGGGTGCTGCGGAGAGAAGGAAAGAAGGAAGGAAGGAAGAAGTCAGCAAGGAAAAAGAACGATTGCTGCTGTTGTTGTTGTTGTTGTGTGCCTTCAAGTTATTTCCAAAACAGGATTTTGTAGGTAGTTTTTGTTTTGGTCTTCTGCAGAGGCTGAGAGAGGTGAAGGAAGGGAAGGAAGAAGGAAGGAAGGAAGAAGGAAGGAAGGAAGGAAGGAAGGAAGGAAGGAGAAAGAAGTAAGAGGAAAGGGGAAGAGGAAAAAAAGAAGAGAGGAAAGAAAAGGAGGAAAGGAAGGAAGGAAGGAGGAAAGAAGAAGGGAAGGAGGGAAGGGAGGAAGGAGGAAGGAGAAAGAGAAGGGAGAGAAGGAAGAAAAGGAAGGGAGGAAAGAAAGAAGGAAAGGGAAGGAAGAGAGGGAGGGAGGGAGGGAGGGAGGGAGGGAGGAAGGAAGGAAGGAAGGAAGGAAGGAAGGAAGGAAGGAAGGAAGGAAGGAAGGAAGGAAGGAGAAAGAGTCAACAGAGGAAGGGAGGGAAGGAGGAAATCAATAAAGAAGAGAGGAAAGAAAAGAAGGAAAGGGAAGGAAAAAAAGCGAGGAGGGAAGGAAGGAAGGGAAGGAGAAAGAGTCAAGGGAGAGAGGGAGAGAAGGAAGAAATATATAAAGAAGGGAGGAAAAGAAAGAAGGAAAGGGAAGGAAGGAAAGAGAGGAAGGAAGGGAGGGAGCGAATGGAGAAAGGAAGAAAGGAAGGAGAAAGAGTCAACAGAAGAAGGGAGGGAAGGAGGAAATCAATAAAGAAGAGAGGAAAGGGAAGAAGGAAAGGGAAGGAAAAAGAGGGAGGGAGGGAAGGGAGGGAAGGAAGGAAGGAAGGAAGGAAGGAAGGAAGGAAGGAAGGAAGGAAGGAAGGAGAAAGAGTCAAAGGAGAGAGAGAGAAGGAAGAAATAAATAAAGAAGGGAGGAAAGAAAAGAAGGAAGGGGAAGGAAGGAAAGAGAGGAAGGGAGGGAGGGAAGTGAGGAAGGAAGGAGAGAGGAAGAGGAGGGAATCAATAAAGGGAATCAATAAAAAACAAGCCCGAGGAAGCCACTTATCGTCCCTAATTGCTTCTTTTCCATCATCCTCTTCTGCCAAAAAGGGATTCCATTAGCCGCGTGCAGAGTCCCCTATTGATCTCCATCCGGCCCATTTGCATACCAATTAGCCATTTCCAAGGCTGGGTGGGGGACCCTCATTCATTCATACTTTCAAGGCATCTGGATATTATTATTATTAGTAATAATAATAATAATAATAATAATAATAATAATAATGTTCCACTGGTAGAGGTCTTCACAAGTGGATGAGCATCTGTCGGGAGTGGTTTAGCTGTGGATTCCTGCATAGCAGGATGGGGTTGGGCTAGATGAACCTTGGGGATCCCTTCCAAGTATCTAAATCTAGAAGTACAGTTACATTATTATTATTGCTATTATTATTGTTCCTATTATTATTATTCCTGCACGGCAGCATTTGAGTTGGATTATATTATTATTATTATTATTTCTATTATTATTATTATTATTATTATTATTATTCCTGTTTGGTGGCATTAGAGTTGGATTATTATTATTATTATTATTATTATTATTATTATTATTATTTCTATTATTATTATTATTATTATTATTATTCCTGTTTGGTGGCATTAGAGTTGGATTATTATTATTATTATTATTATTATTATTATTTTTCCTGTATGGTGGCATTTGAGTTGGATTGTTATTATTATTATTATTATTATTTCTATTATTATTATTATTCCTGCATGGCAGCATTTGAGTTGGATATTATTATTATTATTATTATTATTTCTATTATTATTATTATTATTATTATTATTATTATTATTCCTGCTTGGTGGCATTAGAGTTGGATTGTTATTATTATTTCTATTATTATTTCTATTATTATTATTTCTATTATTATTATTATTATTACTACTGCTATTACTATTATTCCTATATGGCGGCATTTGAGTTGGATTATTATTATTACTATTATTACTATCATGTTATTGTTATATATTGTTATATCTATGATTATTATTACTACTACTGCTATTACTATTATTCCTATATGGCGGCATTTGAGTTGGATTGTTATTATTATTTCTATTATTATTACTATTACATTATTCCTGCATGGTGGCATTTGAGTTGGATTATTATTATTACTATTATTACTATTATGTTATTGTTATATATTGTTATATCTATGATTATTATTATTATTACTACTACTACTACTATTACTATTATTCCTGTGTGGTGGCATTTGAGTTGGATTATTATTATTATTATTATTATTATTATTTCTATTATTATTTCTATTACTATTATTATTACTATTACATTATTCTGCATGTTGGCATCTGAGTTGGATTATTATTATTATTATTGCGCATGGCAAGCTGTGGCAATGGAGCAATTGTAAGCCATGCACACTGTGCACAGAAAGAAGCTTGGCAGCTGAGACTCAAAACAGAGAGCCATATGAACATTTCAAATTGGTTGAGCATGATAACTGGCATAGACCAATGAGACTGCGCATGGCAGCTGAGGTTGAGCATGGCAAACTGTGCCAATTGAGTTATTATAAGCCATGCACATAGAGCACAGAAAGGAGCATGGCAGCTGAGACTCAACACAGAAAGCCGTACGAACATTTTGAATTGGTCGAGCATGATAACTGAGCACAGACTAATGAGACTGCGCATGGCAGCTGAGGCTGAGCATAGCAAGCCGTGGCAATGGAGTAGATGTAAGCCATAAACACAGAGCCATGCTCACAGAGAAAGTCATAGGAATGGAGCATTTGGAATTCACAACCAAGGCTTGAACCCAAACCAATGAGATTGCGCATGACGGCTTAGGCTGAGCATGACAAGCTATGGCAATGGAGCCACTGTAAGCCATGCACACAGAGCACAGAAACGAGTACGGCAGCTGAGACTCAAAACAGAAAGCCATAGTATTATTCTGAATTGGCTGAGCATGATAACTGAGCATACACCAATGAGAGTGCGCATGGCAGCTGAGGCCGAGCATGGTAAGCCATGGCAACGGAGTAATGGTAAACCATGCACATAGAGCTGAGACTCAACCTAGAAAGCCACAGGAATGGAGCATTTGGGACAGGATGAGCATCATAACTGAGCCTTGAACACAGACCAATGAGACTGCGCATGGCAGCTGAGGCCGAGCATGGCAAGCCATGGCAATGGAGCAATTGTAAGCCATGCACACTGAGCACAGAAAGAAGCTTGGCAGCTGAGACTCAAAACAGAAAGCCATAGGAACATTTCAAATTAGTGAGCATGATAACTGAGCATAGACCAATGAGACTGCGCATGGCAGCTGAGGCCGAGCATGGCAAGCCATGGCAATGGAGCAATTGTAAGCCATGCACACTGAGCACAGAAAGAAGCTTGGCAGCTGAGACTCAAAACAGAAAGCCATAGGAACATTTCAAATTAGTCGAGCATGATAACCGAGCATAGACCAATGAGACTGTGCATGGCAGCTGAGGCTGAGCATGGCAAGCCGTGGCAATGGAGTGATTGTAAGCAATGCACATAGAGCACTGAAAGGAGCATGGCAGCTGAGACTCAACACAGAAAACAATAGGAAAATTTTGGATTGGTCGAGCATGATAACTGAGCATAGACCAATGAGATTGCGCATGGCAGCTGAGGCTGAGCATGGAAAACTGTGCCAATGGAATAATTGTAAGCTATGCACACAGAGCACTGAAAGGAGCATGGCAGCTCAAACTTGACACAGAAAGCCATAGGTACAGTTCAAATTGGTCGAGCATGATAACTGAGCATAGACCAATGAGAGTGCACATGGCAGCTGAGCATGGCAAGCCATGGTAATGGAGCCATTGTATGGCTATGCACAGAGTGCTGAGACTCAACCTTGAAAGCCATAGTAATGGAGCATTTGAATTTGGAACTGAGTCTTGAACACAGACCAATGAGAGTGCGCATGGCAGCTGAGGCTGAGCATGGCAAGCCATGGCAGTAGAGCAATTGTAAGACATGCACACAGAGAAGAGAAACAAGTATGGCAACTGAGACTCAAAACAGAAAGCCATAGGAACATTTCGAATTAGTAAAGCATGATAACTGAGCATAGACCAATGAGAGTGCACATGGCAGCTGTGGCTGAGCATGGTGATCTGTGGCAACGGAGCCATTGTAAGCCATGCTCACAGAGCTGAGAGTCAACCTAGAAAGCCATAGTAATGAAGCATTTGGAATTTGGAACTGAGCCTTGAACACAGACCAATGAGAGTGCGCATGGCAGCTGAGGCTGCGCATGGCAAGCCGTGTCAGTGAAGCATTTGTAAGCCATGCACACTGAGCACAGAAAGAAGCATGGCAGCTGAGACTCAACACAGAAAGCCATAGGTACAGTTCAAATTGGTTGAGCATGATAACTGAGCATAGACCAATGAGAGTGCACATGGCAGCTGAGGTTGCGCATGGCAAGCTGTGGCAATGGAGTGAATGTAAGCCATGCACATAGAGCACAGGAAGGAGCATAGCAGCTGAGACTCAACACAGAAAACAATAGGAAAATTTTGAATTGGCCGAGCATGATAACTGAGCAAAGACCAATGAGACTGCGCATGGCAGCTGAGGCTGAGCATGGGAAACTGTGCCAATGGAGTAATTGTAAGCCATGCACACATAGCACTGAAAGGAGCATGGCAGCTCAAACTCGACACAGAAAGCCATATGAACATTTCGAATCGGTCGAGCATGATAACCGAGCATAGACCAATGAGACTGCGCATGGCAGCTGAGGCTGAGCATGGCAAGCCGTGGCAATTGAGTTATTATAAGCCATGCACATAGAGCACAGAAAGGAGCATGGCAGCTGAGACTCAACACAGAAAACAATAGGAAAATTTTGGATTGGTCGAGCATGATAACCGAGCGTAGACCAATGAGACTGCACATGGCAGCTGAGGCTGCGCATGGCAAGCCATGACAACAGAGCCATTGTAAGGCATGCACACAGAACACAGAAAGGAGCATGGCAGCTGAGACTCAACACAGAAAGCCATAGGTACAGTTCAAATTGGTTGAGCATGATAACTGAGCATAGACCAATGAGAGTGCACATGGCAGCTGAGGTTGCGCATGGCAAGCTGTGGCAATGGAGCAATTGTAAGCCATGCACACTGTGCACAGAAAGAAGCTTGGCAGCTGAGACTCAAAACAGAAAGCCATAGGAACATTTCGAATTAGTTGAGCATGATAACCGAGCATAGACCAACGAGACTGCGCATGGCAGCTGTGGCCGAGCATGGCAAACTGTGCCAATGAAGTAATTGTAAGCCATGCACATAGAGCACAGAAAGGAGCATGGCAGCTGAGACTCAACACAGAAAACAATAGGAAAATTTTGAATTGGTCGAGCATGATAACCGAGCATAGACCAATAAGACTGCGCATGGCAGCTGTGGTCGAGCATGGCAAGCCGTGCCAATGGAGCCTTCCTATGCCGTGCCAATGCAGCCTTGCACACAAGGAGCATGGCAGCGGAGACCCAACTCAGAAAGCCGTGCAGGGCTCATGGGCGAGCCATGCGCCTGAGCATGGGCCGAGTGACACCTTCCCCAAAGCGACCCAGAGGCCCCGAAGAAGGGGAGGGGGAGGCAGACATTCCTCCCCCCCCCCAAAGAAACCAATGACAGCCCCTCACAATGGCCCTTACCTGGCCGCCTCCACTGTCATGCGCAGCAGGCCTCTCTGATGCTCCCCTCTCCACAAGCCAAGGGGAGGGGGCTGCAGGGGCATCCCAGGGTTCATTTGCATTCCAGCAGGCCTCACATGACCCTGGCAGCCAATGGCAAAGCAGGAGCTGGGCCTGGGGGTCCTCCCTGGCCTCCCCCCCTCCTCCCAGGCAGTTGCCGTGGCAACCACAGGCCCCTCCTCCCCCTCCTCTCTCATGCAAATGTGTTCAAGATGCAAATATATTTAAAGCGCATGTATGCATATATATCCATGCGCAAGGCGGCTGGGCTGGCTTGGCCTGCTTTGTTTGGCTATTTGGCAAGTGTTGCATCCACACTGTGGGTTTAATCCCGATCTGAACCCCATTTAACAGCTGTGGGGTCAAACTGGGTTAAATCCACATGCACAAGAAGTGGAAAAAGGGAGAAATCACCAAAGAAGAATTCAAACAAATAGCCAACACCTGTAGGGAAAAGGTCCGCAAGGCTAAAGCACAAAATGAGCTCACACTTGCAGGGACATTAAAAACAATAAAAAGGGTTAAATTCAAGGTCCCATCTATTATTATTATTATTATTATTATTATTATTATTATTATTATTATTTATAATAATATTTAAAAATTATTGTATTGTGTCATGTTATTGTTGGACGCCTTGAGTCTATATGGGCAGAAAAGCGAGCTAATAATAATAATAAAAATTATTATTATTATTATTATTATTATCATTATATTTATTAATAATATATAAAAAATATTGCATTGTGTCATGTTATTGTTGGATGCCTTGGGTCTATATGGGGAGAAAGGTGGGCTCGAAATAATAATAATATTAATAATAATAATAATAATAATAACAATTATTATCATCATCATTATATTATTATATTATATTATATTTAATTATTATTATCATTATATTTATTTATAATATATTATATTTAATTATTATTATCATTATATTTATTTATATTATATTATATTATATTATTATCATCATCATTATATTTATTTATATTATATTATATTTAATTATTATCATCATCATTATATTTATTTATATTATATTATATTATATTATTATCATCATCATTATATTTATTTATATTATATTATATTTAATTATTATCATCATCATTATATTTATTTATATTATATTATATTATATTATTATCATCATCATTATATTTATTTATATTATATTATATTTAATTATTATCTATCATCATTATATTTATTTATATTATATTATATTTAATTATTATCATCATTATATTTATTTATATTATATTATATTTAATTATTATTATCATCATCATCATTATATTATTTATATATATTATATTTATTATAATTATATTATTATATTATTATATATATTATATATTATTATATATATTATATGTATTTATTATATATATATATTATTATTATCATATATATTTATTTATATTATATTATATTTAATTATTATTATCATCATTATATTTATATTATATTATATTATATTTCCTCCAACACCACAGGAAAGTGCTGAGAGTGCCTTGGACTGCGAGAAGATCCAACCAGTCCATCCTCCAGGAAATAAAGCCCGACTGCTCACTGGAGGGAAAGATACTAGAGACAAAGTTGAAGTACTTTGGCCACATCATGAGGAGACAGGAAAGCTTAGAGAAGACAACGATGTTGGGGAAAATGGAAGGAAAAAGGAAGAGGGGCCGACCAAGAGCAAGATGGATGGATGGGATCCTTGAAGTGACTGGCTTGACTCTGAAGGTGCTGGGGGTGGTGATGGCCGACAGGGGGCTCTGGCATGGGCTGGTCCATGAGGTCACAAGAGTCGGAGACGACTGAACGAATGAACAACAACATATTATATTTAATTATAATTATCATCATTATATTTATTTATATTATATTATCATCATAATTATATTTATATTATATTATATAAAATTTAATTATTATTATCATCATTATATTTATTTATAGTAAAAATTTAAAATTATTGCATTGTGTCATGTTATTGTTGGACAGCTTGAGTCTATAAGGGCAGAAAAGTGGGCTAGAAATAATAATAATAATAATAATAATAATAATAATAATGCATTATTATTATTACCATTATATTTATTAATAATAATATTTTAAAATTATTGCATTGTGTCATGTTATTGTTGAACACCTTGAGTCTATATGGAAAGAAAGGTAGGCTAGAAATAATAATAATAATAATAATAATAATAATAATAATAATAACAATTATTATTATCATCATTATATTTATAATAAAAAATAAAAAAATGTTTCATTAAGTCATGTTATTGTTGGACGCCTTGAGTCCATATGGGAAGAAAGGCGGGCTAGAAATAATAATAATAATTATCATTATTATTATTATTGACCTGCCTTGTGTTTATATGGGGAGAAAGGTGGGCTAGAAATGATTAATAATAATAATAATAATAATAATAATAATAATAATAATAATAACCTGCATTGTGTTTATATTAGGAGAAAGTTGGGCTAGAAATAAATAAGTAAATTTATTATTATTATTATTATTATTATTATTATTATTATTTACCTGCCTTGTGTTTATATGGGGAGAAAGGTGGGCTAGAAATGATGATGATGATGATAATAATAATAATAATAACCTGCCTTGTGTTTATATTAGGAGAAAGTTGGGCTAGAAATAAATAAGTAAATTTATTATTATTATTATTATTATTATTATTATTATTATTATTGACCTGCCTTGTGTTTATAGGGGAAGAAAGGTGGGCTAGAAATGATAATAATAATAATAATAATAATAATAATAATAATAATAATAATAACCTGCATTGTGTTTATATTAGGAGAAAGTTGGGCTAGAAATAAATAAGTAAATTTATTATTATTATTATTATTATTATTATTATTATTATTATACCTGCCTTGTGTTTATATAAACACAATTATTATTATTATTATTATTATTATTATTGCTATTATTATCATCATTATATTTATTTATAATAATATTTAAAAATTATTGCATTGTTATTGTTGGATGCCTTGAGAAAGGCGGGCTAGAAATAATAATAATCATCATCATCATTATTAATATTTTTATTATTATTATTCAGTGAAGTGGCTATTATTATTATTATTATCATCATCATCATCATCATTATATTTATTCATAATAATATTTAAAAAATATTGCATTGTTATTATTGGATGCCTTGAGAAAGGCGGGCTAGAAATAATAATAACAATAATAATAATAATAATAATAAATATTTTTATTATTATTATTCAGTGAAGTGGCATTGACATTATTATTATTCACTGAAGAGACTCATTATTATTATTATTATTATTATTATTATTATTATTATATTATTATTATTATTCAATGAAGCGAAACTGATATTATTATTATATTCAAAAAACGACCTTAATATTATTAGTATTATTATTGTTATTATTCAATGAAGCGAACCTAAGCACAGTGACCCTTTCTTGCCTGCAGAACATCCCTTGCTTCCGCCTCTTTGAATCCGCACCAGAAGATGCACAGCAGGACGCAACGAGCATGCCGGTCAAAGGAAGGTCATCAATAATTCCAAAGACGATCAATCGGGAGCATTGGGTGATTCCTATTGAAGCTTCCCTTTCTGCTGATATCTTGCAGCGGGCCATCTGTCTGTACTGCATCTTCTGTTGTGTTGTGTTTGGAAGCCTAAGCTGGATGGCTATCTGTCAGGAGAGCTTTGATGGTGCCTTCCTTACCTGGCAGAAAGGGGGTATTATTATTATTAGTATTATGTTTGTTTACACCCTGCTTCTTCTCTCCACGAGGAGACTCCAAGTGGCTTTGTATCTATTATTAGTATTTGAATGTATTATTATTATTATTATTATTATTATTATTGTTATGGTTATGGTTATGGTTATGGTTATGGTTATGGTCATGGTCATGGTCATGGTTATGGTTATTTATTCCCAGCTTCTTCTCTCTACAAGGAGACTCCAAGCAGCTTTGTATCTATTATTAGTATTTGAATGTGTTGTTGTTGTTGTTGTTGTTATGTTTATGTTATGTTTATTTATACCCGGCTTGTTCTATCCACAAATAGACTCCAAGTGGCTTTGTATCTATTATTAGTATTCGAATGTATTATTAATATTATTACTATTACTATTATTATTATTATTATTATTATTATTATTGTTTGGTTATGGTTATGGTTATGGTTATGGTTATGGTTATGGTTATGGTTATGGTTATGGTTATGGTTATGGTTATGGTTATGGTTATGGTTATGTTTATTTATTCCCGGCTTCTTCTCTCTACAAGGAGACTCCGAGTGAATGTATTATTATTATTATTATTATTATTATTATTATTGTTTGGTTATGGTTATGGTTATGGTTATGGTTATGGTTATGGTTATGGTTATGGTTATGGTTATGGTTATGGTTATGGTTATGGTTGTGGTTATGGTTATGTTTATTTATTCCCGGCTTCTTCTCTCTACAAGGAGACTCCGAGTGGCTTTGTATCTATTATTAGTATTCAAATGTATTATTATTATTATTATTATTATTATTATTATTATTATTATGGTTATGGTTATGGGTATTTATACCCTGCTTCTTCTCTACACAAGGAGACTCCAAGCGGCTATGTATCTATTATTAGTATTCGAATGTATTATTATTATTATTATTATTATTATTATTATTATTATGGTTATGGTTATGGTTATGGTTATTTATTCCCGGCTTCTTCTCTCCACGAGGAGACTCCGAGTAGCTTTGTATCTATTATTAGTATTCGAATGTATTATTATTATTATTATTATTGTTGTTGTTGTTGTTGTTGTTGTTGTTGTTGTTGTTATGGTTATGTTTATGGTTATGTTTATTTATACCCGGCTTCTTCCCTCTACAAAGAGACTCCGAGTGGCTTTGTATCTATTATTAGTATTCGAATGTATTATTATTATTGTTGTTGTTGTTGTTGTTGTTGTTGTTGTGGTTATGTTTAT